AATAGGTAATATAGAAAAGTTACACATGTAGCCAATTGTACGCTCTCCTGTAGTGGTTCATTGAACCACAATACTGACAAGTGATTATTAAAAGTCAAAAGACCAAAGAGGTCACCTTAATACCAAAAAAAAAAAAATAAAGTTAAATTAAGATAATAAAATAATTAATTAATTATTAAAAAAATTTTTTTAAAAATTAAAAAAAAAATAATAAATTATAAAAAAAAAGAACAAATCTTAAGTTACAGAACTTCTTTATAATAACAAACCTTGAGTTTCAAGTTTTCTTTATAATAACAAACCTCGAATTTTGGGTTCTCTTTATCATTGAAAAACTGAACTCGATTTATTATTTGTATTTATACTATTAGTCATGTTAATCAATCTGGTAATACTGGTAGTAAATCTATGATTTTCAACTCTGAACCAGATGACCATAATATTTGTTCTTTTTAGAAATATCAAAAAGTATTGTAAATCTTTGATACAAATTTTACATATATTTTTTTTTTAATAGATATGACAAATTATTAGTTCAATTCGAATAAGAATCAGGCACAATTCTCTATTGGCGATGATCAAACACAACCAAATCATGAACCTACACAACATTCTCAAAGACTTCAAGTCAGCAAGTATTATATTAAATTCTTTTATATATTTATAATTTAATAGTAATTTTATTATTTGTCTATTTTAGTGTTTTGAAACAACCTAATGGTGAATCTCAAATCACATTTGGATAAATTATTAAATAAATTAAATCAAAATGAAATGTTATGGATTTTTTTCTACAATTATCATTCTTATTACTATTATTTATTTTACTTGTTATTACTATTATTATTAAATTATCAATAAAGTGCTGACTGCATCTGTTAGTTTGCCTATGCAATGTTGAGATTTGACATTTAAATACCATTTATTTCCATAAAAAATATGCATAGATAAAAAATGGTTTGTATACATTTTTTGTCTTGTATATAGTCAATTTTTTATCAATTTAACAATATTTAGAGGTTTGATCCAGTCAAAATATAAATCCTAATATTCATTTGTTCTGAGTTGTAATCAAGAATATAATATGCTAATGTTTATTTTTTTTTATATTTTAAAATTGATAAAAACCATCTTGCATATGAAAAATAAAATTGGAATAAACAATAGTTATATACTGTGTGTACTTTATGATAAAAACAATTTTCCCAATATAGATAATACTATAATTTTGTTACAGGTATGCCAATTATTAGATGTTATTTTTCAGATTGGTTACCTTAAAGTAATAAAATAAATAATTAATTATTAAAAAAATTTTAAAAAGTTAAAAATAAAATAATAATAAATTATAAAAAAAAAGAACAAATCTCGAGTTACAGGTCTTCTTTATAATAACAAACCTTGAGTTTCAGGTTCTCTTTATCATTGAAAAACTGAACTCAATTTATTATTTGTATTTATATTGGTTAACTTATGATATCCAGAAAATGTGTATCAGGTTTGGTCTGAATAATCATTTAAATAATTAGATCAGAATTATTCTATAACTGTATAACACTAAAGAAATTACTCGTTCATTATAGGAACATATTTTAATATTGTAATTGTTATACTTTACTTTTTTGCAAATTAGCTATTAGGTATTTGCTGTATTGAATCTGTACCCATGCTAATAAATTCTTACACCAATCTATAAGTATCGAGACCTATTAAACTTAGTAACTTTGGAAAACATGAACATTAATATTAAAGAAGACAGATGCTTTTAAACAAGTTCATGAGTTTTAAGAAATTCAACAATGTGATGCACCTGACTAGAACTTATCCAGTTCACAGATAGTTGGAATAATGGAAATACGAATTGTTCTGTGACATTTAATTAAAAACTTATTTGATTGACATATTTGTCAAAAGCGAATTAGCAATTTAAAAAAAAGTTTGTTTTTTGAAATTTTAAAAGCAAAAGCCATAAGATAGTGAATTGACTGTAAAAAAAGTTTGCTATAAAAAAATTGCTATGCTTATTATGAATTTATGACCAAAATATTTTGAAATTTCACATTTTGAATTCATTGTATTCAGAGTCTACATTATATATATTATGTATATATTTTTTTTAATTGACAAAATCTTTATGTTAATCAAAGTTGCTTAATTCTTTAAGTGATTATCTGAACTATTATCTGATGATTATCTGAATACAACTTGGTATACATTTTCTGGATACTACTTTATATTATTTTGATCTAATTATATATATAATTTTTTCTTTTAAATAAATAATAATTTATTAATAAAACCTACACCTCATGTAAGTTTGATCAGGTTTGGTCAGATAATTATGATTTAGAAATTTAGGGCTATGCATAATCAATTAGTATGTTCATAAAATCTTAATATCAGGTTTGATTAGGTAATTAAAATTCAGGGCTTTGGACTATGCATAATTGGTTGGTATGCTTAAAACTACAAATGAGAGAGAAATTATTTTTGAATTTTTAATAATAATTTTAATGATAATTTTTACATTTTTAATATTTATATAAATTAAATATCAAATAACTATTTTATTTGATTTAGCTTAGTTACAATTGATTTTTAATATAATTAAATTAATTTTAAATATTAAAAAAACTAATTTTACTAACATCTACATCAAATAATTTCTACAATTTTTACAAATTTAACAAATTATTTTATTAACAAAGTAATTTCTCTCACATCTATACATATACTATAATTTAATAATAAAACTTACATTGTATATAGGTTTGATCAGATAATTACGAATATTCTCTGAAGTTTGAGGATATTACTAGCTGATTTTGGTTAGTATAAAAAATATATAAAGTATAATTTTAATAATAAAATTTGCATATTGATTTGATAAGGTAATTACAGAGCTATGCTTAATTGGTTAGTATGTTCATAAAATCTTAATGTTTAAAAATATATATAATTTAATAATAAACTTACATTGCATATAGGTTTGATCAGTTCAATAGGTAATTACTATTCAGAGATTCAAGAAATCAATTAGCGCACATGCTAATCTAATTGGTTAATTTTAGGTACTATATCAATTAATCTGCATTATGTGCTTCTGAATTTTCAGCTTCCAGTAGTTTTAATATACAATATAATTTTTTTTGTAAATTAACAGTAAAAAAATTACTAAACCACCAATTAGAACACATAGACTATTTAACCTTCTATCTATTGCTTTATATAAAGACTAATTTTTATTAATTAAAAATTAACAAGTTATTTTCTTTTAGAAATTCTGAACTTTAGGTTTTGTTATAGTACTAGTATATAAAGACATTAATTTTTATTAATCAAAAATTAACAAGTTATTTCCTTTTAGAAATCCTGAACTTCGGGTTTTGTTATAATCCAGTATATAAAGACAATAATTTTTATTAATCAAAAATTAACAAGTTATTTTCTTTTAGAAATCCCAAACTTCAGGTTTTGTTATAGTCCAGTAAGCTATAATTATTATCAAGTACTGCATATAGTATCCAAAATCTTATTCAAGTTCTCTATTTTTTTAAAAAAATTGGAACTATGATACTGTAAATACTATATGTAAAGAATATATTATATGAAAGTAATAAATTAAATATAGTTATACCTCCAAGTACTATTCAAGAATTAAGCCAGATATGTAGTGAATAATATCTGGATCTTAATTAAAGGGAATAGAATATATATTCTACACTTGTTATAATGAAACTGTTAAGGTGGTTTCCTAATTATAACAGAGTAATTTCTTAGAATGTTTTAATTTTTATTATTATGTATAATGTTATAATAGATAAATTTTTTAGTCTAATCACTATATTATAGCAGAAGCCGAGACTGTTAAAGCTGACCAAGTAGAGTTTGTATTGAGCTGCACAAACTCAAATTTTTAATAAATTTGCCAGATCTAACAATTGTAATCACAATCACAATCATAATTACTTTATAATTAATTTGTTAATTACATTAATATAAATAATCATTGTTTATATATTTAAGCAAAAATTGCTTTTAAAATTATTTTATTTTTATACTTGAACATTTAAAATATCTAATGAAACTTCTATTTTCGATTATATTAATAAACTTAATGCACCATCTTCTAATTTAGACAGCACTTCTAAAGTGGAATGATATATTCATAAAGCTCAATTAATTAAAATTAAAGAAAGAGAAAAAACACAAAAACCAAAAACTAATCTAGTTACTGGTAAACAATATACAAATATACCTATTGCAAAAACTTTGAATATAGATCCAGCACTAGTTAAAGGATACAAGGTAATTTTATAAATATAAACAACTTTTAGTAAAAAAACTATATATAATAACATTATTTTTTATAATAGAAATACATTCGTGACTTGCAACAAAATAGTATTTATTCAAAAAAAAGCAATATTAAATATATTCCCAAAGAAATTCAAAAGAAATAGTTTAAAGAGGTTATGAAAAAATTTCTGAAGTTTTCAAATACAGCCAATGATTGGGTGTTTTATGAAATGCTTCAACAAATAATTAATTCAAAAGGTATTATTTTTAAATAATTTTAATATAAATAGATTATTTATATTAATTTTATATATCAATTTAAGTTGATTATTTTAGGCATAAGCCTAAATGACTAGCATATGCTTCACAAAAATGGCCAAATAAACATACATGAGAATTTATTTCTGAAGATAATGATTTTAGTAATATTTATATTATTGCTTTTTATTATTATTATTTTAATACATATAGATATATATTTATAATAAAAAATTAAAAATTTAAATAATATACTGAATTAAGAAATCAATGATTTACCTGATCAAGAAATTGACAATATATCTGATCAAGAAATCGATGATGCACCTAATCAAAAAATCAATGATAATACACTTGATCAAGTAATCAATGATGCACATGAGCAAGAAATCGATGATACATATTATCAAGAAATTGATGCATTTGATCAAGAAATCAATGATGTATCTAATCTAGTAATTGATGATACTTTTTATCAAGAAATGCAAGCAATTTAAGAAATTGATAATATAGAGACTAATGATATTAATGAAAAAACAAATGATAATTTAGAATATAATAAAAAAAATTGAAAATTTAAAAAATGTTTGTTTAAAAATTGTTTTATTAAATTTATATTAATATATTAAAATACTATATATATATACATTATAGTGAAAATTTTAGCTACTGTTGATAA